TCGTCTGCCTCAGAGACCAGGCCATACCCTGCACTTAACTCGGAGGACTCGAAATGTTGAGCCCAGGGCTCAAAGCCCTCCATCATAGGCTTGTATGTAGGATCCCATGTGCTCCTTGGGACATTGGGCTGATCTTTGGTCAAAAACTCATCCTCTGGAAATGCCTGTTCTGGACGCTGACATCCAAACCGGAGATTGCCTCCCTCGTACCAGAACCTAATCATACTCGACTGTGCCGTATGGAACAGAGGTAGCAAAGACCGTGCGATCTTCAGCTTAATCGTAACCCCTTCGGCGTCTGCAACAGACAGAATGGTGAAATGCAAATTCCGCTGCAAGACTTGGACAGGTGTAATACGAAAATACCCAGCTTTATTCCATGCAGTCCGACAATCAAAGGATGTAGTAATGGGCAAAGTGTCCCATGCCATGGCTCGATCAGTACCCCACTTGCGTGGGGCGACGGGATTGCCAGGTCCGCTAACGGACGGTGGGCTCGAGCCTAAATCCTCTGGCCTTACTACTAGGAGCAAGGATGCTACTAGGGGCTCGTGGCCTTACTACTAGGAGCAAGGATGCTACTAGGGGCTCCTGCCCTTACTATACTAGGAGCAAGGACGCTACTAGGGGCTCCTGGCCTTACGACTAGGAGCAAGGATGCTACTAGGGGCTCCTGGCCTTACTACGATGCTACTAGGGGCTCCTGGCCTTACTACTAGGAGCAAGGATGCTACTAGGAGCAAGGATGGTTATTATTCTCATTCGTTTGACTTTTTTCTTTGTGTTCATCCCTCCACTCTTCTCCTTTTGCTTTTGTGAGTTATGCGCCGCAAGAGCGGCTAGCTCACCTTCTTAACGTTCCATTGTTAAGAGCAGACAGCCCCTGCTAACAGCACGACAAGCCAACATGTCCATTCCTTGTATTTTCACAAAAGGATACTCCTGCCATCTCCTGCGTTTCCATCCAACCTTCCGATTTGCTTCAGGATTTGGGCGGGCTTCTCCGTCTCGCTCTCCGACAGGCCGCACCAAAGGTCGAGGCGGGGTCGGATGGTCGTTTCTGAGTCGAGTCGATTGAGGTAAGACAGTCACTTGGTCTAAAGATCGGACAAACCACAAGCACAACTCTAATGGCTTCATGACTTTCGGTTGAGTCTGGGGAATGGAGTCAAGAACATGTTTGGAAGCATGAGAATGAACAAGACTGAGCGACCATCCTGCACCACCCACCCTAAGGATAGTGGATCGACTGTGAATTATCGCCAGTTCACATAATGAAACAGAGGATTCTCAATGGTTCTGAGGTGGTGTAGGATTGTGTTCATGAACAGTAGACAACTACTCAAGTGGAGAAGTTGGGATTTCATTCTGTGTTGAACAGTGGGAGATTGCAACTGCATAGTGTGTTGTTAGTTCTTACCCTAAAATCTTTTCAGCACGGGATGGATGGGGGACCTTTTATGGCGATTCTCTTCTGCGGCCTGTAGGCTTGGATGCCAGAGCTCACTGCGGAATGAGGGGAGACGTGATGGCGGTCACTTTCTATGGAGTCCATTGATGTCAGGTCTTTGTGATCCAGAAAGAATTCTTTTGTACTATCTACTAGTAACTAGTACCATGGTGGTTGTAGAAGCAGTTTGATCATGGCTCTCCAACTGGCATCTCAAAAGACTCCTCAAATTGCTTCCTTGCCACTGGGCAGCAGGCCGAGTGAAAAGTAGTTCAGTTTGCATTTGATCATTTCTACTTGCACGTGACTCCTCGGCCTGCAACACCAACAAAACAGAATCAATTAGTTCTAGTCTAGTCACGACTAGTCTGATGTTCAATTGATTTCAAAGGAATGCCCAAAGAATGCTGATTTCAACTGATTTCGCACTGCAAGCAGTTCGCTTGGCCTCTTGCTCGCTACCAGACCCGAACGACATAGTGACCCAGCTTCCAATAAGGTAGTTTTTTCAATTTTTCCGACATCAGCGTTGCAGCTGGCTGCGATTTCTCGTGGAGTTGAGAAGCTCTCCCTCCGGGTTGTGCTGCTACCCGGGGTTTGCTGCTACCCGCTACGGGTGAGCTTTCCTGTTTGGCATAGCTTCCAAGACAGGATGCATTTCTCGACCAGACCCATTGCTTACACCAGATGTGCAAAGGTACTGAGCTGTGGATTTCTGGTTGGCCAGCGAATCAAATTCTGAAGCCCGCCCTCAGCATTCTCTCAGCCTGCAGGTTCCAACATCCACCTTGGGATCTGCTCCCCAAGCCCATCGCTGAACGACTTCCAATTTGCAGTCTTTATTTCTAGCTGGGCATTGCTCGGAGTTCAGGTGGAGTATGAAGAGCAGGATCTTGAACCTGAGCAGCTCGAATGCAGTATTCCACGTTGATCATCGAGCCTACTGACAGAAGCATGCCTCGTGTTTCTTTAGTCATACCGACCCATCCGACCCCAGCAACAGCAATTCCAGGTACGTGGAACGCATCGTGGAGGTGCCACGAGTTCGCGTTGACCATGTTGAAAAGATCATTGAGGCCTGGAGAACTCTTAATGTCTTCAAGAAAAATTGCATTTCGTCGCTTTAAAGCGAGGTGCCCGAAATCCAGATGGTGGACCGGATAATCGAGGTCCCACAGGTGCAAGATGTTGCAGCTGGGTTGCGTTGGCTTGTTGATCTTTTTTCGAGAATACTTTCGGGGTCCTGCCCTCCATGGGACCAGAACCCCCTTGGGAGATTTCAAGGGCCGCAGAAGTGTCCTGGCTCCAGAAGTTTGCAGAGGTTCCGAAGGGCTCAGTGAAGCTTCAGCAGGTGCTGAGGTGAATCTGTTAGGTGGGTTCCTGTAGGTTGCAAGCCAAGGTTTAGAGGGAATGGGATTTGTGAGGCAAGTGTGTGGTTTGAGCAGAAAAGTACACCATTGGATGACTGTCTTGCGTAGTCTTGAGCTGTGATGTTCTGAGGTCTTGGACACAAGTGGTGCAGGTGGTGCAGGTGGGAGGTTTTTTTTGACTATTCGACGTTTCTCAAGTGCCCGGCCAACCATTGATTTCCGAAGGCTAACTTACAGGAACGATGCCATGCCCAAGAGATAGTTCTCGAGGGCGAGAGAGTTTAACGTTATTTTTGTGTCAGCCGATCCTGAAGGTGGCTATGGAGGGCCTGGTGGCTGCGGTCCGGGTGGGGAGTTTGGCTATGGCTGGGGCGGTGGTCCTGGTGGTCCCGGTGGTCCCGGTGGTCCTGGTGGAGGCTGTGGTCCTGGCGGCTGTGGCTATGGGCCTGGCGGTGGTCCAGGTGGGTGGGGCGGCCCTGGTGGCTATGGGCCTGGCACCGGTGCTGGAGGATATGGTGCTGGTGGGTATGGCGCAGGTGGGTGTGGCGGACCTGGTAGCATTGCCTTTACAGGTGGTGCCATGGATCTTGGCTCATCAGCAGGCAGATACCCTTTCCAGGGCGAAGGTGGCGAGCTGGACAGATTTGGCTATGGCAAAGGTGGACCTGGAGGATATGGACCAGGTGGATATGGGCCAGGAGCAAACGGATATGGGCCCGGGGCCAATGGATATGGACCAGGAGCGAACGGCTTTGGTGGGCCAAACGGCATGGGGCTCAATGGGGGCTGCGGTGGCTATGGCAAGGGTGGCAAAGGCCTGGCATTTTTTCAAAAGATCATTTCTGCAAGTGTAGAGTGTGCAAGGCAAAGGAAAGGGCAACCTGCCGGTGAAAGTCATCACCCGAGAGGCGCGCAAAGCGGACTTTGTTGATCTTTTCCGAGCCACCATGCCCAAATCTTCACTTGCGAGACTTTGAGGTGCCCAAGATTGAAGTGAAACAGGTCGAAAAAGTCGTGGAGGCACCAGAGAACATCCATCATCCGCAAACGGTGAAAGTTGAAGAGGTTTCATTCTTTCCCGAAACTGATGGTTGGAAGGCTCAATTTGCCCAGGTCCCCAATATCGAGTATCGGGATAGACTCGTGGAAGTGCGTGAGGTGCCAAACTCAGTTCTTCACCATTAGGGGTGGTCTGTGAGAAAAGTAGAGATAGAAGTGGTTTCCAACAAATACAACTATTGAGGTGAGTTCACTGTTGTCTGCAAGAACAGAATGAATCATGTCATGAGTCCTACAGTCGGATTCCTTTTTTGGGTTGACTTTCTCAGGTGCGCGAGGTGGTACGGCGAGTGCCGCGCATTGAAGTGCGCGAGATCCCCATCGAACGAATTATCCAGGCTGGGTGCAGCGTGATCTGATGGAGCCCCTAGTAGCGTCCTTGCTCCTAGTAGTAAGGCTTGCTCCTAGTAGCGATGCCAGGAGCCCCCAGTAGCGTCCTTACAGGGTGATCTGTCGTGACTTGCTCTGTGAGGTCCCGAAAAAGGTGGTCCAGGAGGTTGAGCAACCAGTTTATCGACCAGTCCCACACTTGGCGGCGGGCCAAGGAGAAAGAGACTAACAGAAGGCGCCTGCCATTGGTGATCTTGAGGTCAAGCAAAATATCGAACGAGAGATCCCGGTGCCCAAGCCCTACACACAGACGCTGGAGGTTGTAAAACAGGTGCTTTGATCAGGGCTAGTTCTTGTCTCTATCAATGCAATAGCGATGAAGCGATGGCCTCCAATCTAATAGCCATTAAGGTGAATCTGATGCGGTTTGTGCATTTGTGCCTTTGTGTTTGACAGGTGTCAGTGCCGACCAACGCGGATGGTGTGGTTCTTCCTCAGTCAGATGTGACACCCACCAAGCCAGTACAAAATTCTGGGCCTAGTCCGGCCGCTGCTGAAAGTGCCCTGGCCGTGCTGAGTGCACCAGTCATCTCCAGAACTTATGAGCTTCCTCCAGTGCGCTCCACGCCCGGAGAAAGCGCACCTGAGCTCCCGCCATGTTGAACGCGAGCAAGCACGAGTGATGTTTGATATTCATTGCAATGGAACATGTTTGTGTGAGACTGGCTTTCGTGTTGCTATTCTATATACCGGTCCACCTGGCAGGGAACGTCTGTCATGTGCGCCAAAGAGTCTCAGAATCTTTCTTGGCACCTTTTCTGTTTTTGTGTGCGTCCAACGGCATACAGAGCGCTGTGATCAGGTATGGTAGCTCCAAGCAAGTGCAGCAACCTGCTGTCGGAAGCTTTGAAGTTGGCCTCAGTGGCAGGGAATTGGAAGCCTGATTCCTGGGACAAGGTCACAGGTGGAGATTGGTTCAGCAGGCTTGACAAAGATGGCAGTGGCGCTCTCTCACGTGAGGAGTTTGCGCAGGCCAGGTTGAAAGCTCTTTTGAGAAAAACACATAATGCGACTTGCCCAGAGGCCCAGCAAAGTGGCCTTGTGCCCTCAATGGGTGGCAGCCCCTATGCGTCAATGCTGCGGGCCTCAATTTGGCAAGATGGGTTCTGCCATTTGATGAGGGCACCCACAGTCCAGATTGTTGCATAACTGAGGACTGGGCCTCCAGTTTCTCTCGCTGGCTTTCTTCATAGAAGTACAATTGTCCCTATTACCTTTTTCACAGCTGGGCTATGCACATGGCAGGTGACTACCATGGGTGCTCCAGCAACATATGGACCACCGCAAAGTGTCGCACCGGCAAGTCTGTCTGCAGAATGTGTCCCGACCTGCAGAACAATGAACATGGCAGGTGTCAATGGGGTCTATGGCGATGGGCTCCGGCTTTGGTGCTCCTCCACAGGCTCAGCTTGC